GCTGTGACCAGCCTCTTTCAAAGTTTCACAGATGAAATTGGAATAAATCCTGGTGGTGTGTTTTTTTGTTTACTTGTATATTGTGGACTTGCAAGCAATTTCGTACCACTATTAATATATATACTTAAAACTTTGCACAGAACAAGTTGAGAAAACAGAAGCTGCATTAGAAGAGGAACATTGTTCATCAACTACTGATGGTTTGTATTACTGCACTAACCCCAAACATTTACTGAAGTGAAGATTCTTAAGATTTGTGTGTATTATATGAACCTCACATAACATCCAAGTGGAAGATGTTTCCAAAAATCTTCAGTCTAAACCTGTTGGATTTGGTTTGATTGACAATCAGCTACCTGAGCCCTGAAGAAGTAGTTTGGATTAACAACGAAATGCTGGGTATTAATGTCAGACTAAGTCCAGTTGTTTTATTATGAAGAGAGGAAGAGAGACAGACAAAGGGGAAGTAAAGGGAGACAAAGAGGAAGGGAGGAAGAGATGCAGGGACCATAAGTGAGAGTAGAATGTAGATTCACCAGTAAATGCAGTGCTTTGCCTTTCAGCTCAGCTCCTTCACTGCAACAGTCCAATACAGTGACCACGTCACTGCAGAAAATTCAATTACAATTGGTAAATTGGTTTATATTAATTTTTCTTATTTTCATTATTTCTCATTAGATGAGATGACACTTGTTTGGTCTCCACCACCATCCAAGAAACGCAAACAGGCATCAGACAAACCTCCAAGAGACAGACCTGAGAAGTCTTCTGACAAAGGTGAACTCTTCACTATGTTTATACTTCAAATGGCAACATGCTGAAACTGGCACAAAAGTTTTCATTTTGTAAAACCTTCAAAAATTGGATCACGTTTGTCACCTTTGAAACCCTCGAGAGTAAACCCTCTTTAGATTTTTTTATTTTTTTTCCTGTGTGAAAAGTCAGATCTCCATCTACTTCCTATATTTATGGAATATATTTTTATTGTGTTGTTCCAAGTTTGGATGTATGAGTAGAGAAATAGATAGTTTTGAAAGAAAAAACATTTCATTTCATGGCAACAAAACCACATCCTACAAGCCCATATTTAATTCATGTGTACAATATTATACAAAGTACCCGAAGTAATGTAACAAAGTTACATTCTTGAGGTAGGAACTAAGTAATAAAATTTTTAAAGTAACTTCACTTCAAATGTCTGGATCCTATTATCAGCAATGTTAGGGGAGTCACTGCACACACTAACTGTTGCTTTTCTTCTTAACCCCTTTAAGGCAAAATCCGGAAGAAAATTCCCTGGCAGCAGACTGAGGTGCAGGCAGTGGAGAGGCACCTGAAACGATTTATTACATCGGGTGTCGTACCTTCAAAAGTGGACTGCGAAAAATGCTTGAGAGCTGAACCTGCTCTCAGAGGCAGAGAATGGAAAAATGTTAAATTTTACGTTTATAATCGCATCATAGCTCTTAAAAGGAAATTACAGCGCTCATAATATAGCATGACAATTAAGTTCTAGGTTGGTAAACCCTAATTCAAACATACAATTTTAACATTTTCATTAAACCCTCAGGGGTTCCTTAAACTTCTTTGGTTCTTGTTAAAGATAATACAGTAACGTGTATTTACCTTGTTGACATGTTCTGGCTGCTGCTGCAAGACATATTCAGTATTGTCACCAGTGTTGGTGGTGACATGTCGTATATCAGCTGTAGTTACTTCAAGTAGGCGTGGTCAGCCTGATGGACCTGGCGTTTCGCTCAGACTGACCACGTCTCCTGTTGCCCGGTGTCTCTGGAGGAGGATGTCCCAGGTGTGTGAAAGGAGGAACGCTCCATCATCATGATTAATACTGTCCTTGCCTCGTTTCCTGATTTCACTGGCCTCCCTGATCCAGCATTTGAAATGGATGTTTTCCAATCCAATGACCCATCATTGGACATTGAATCGTAAAACGACAAGTTCAAACGCTGGATCAGGGAGGCATTAACTCTGATGACAGAGTTTTCCTCCTTTCACACACCTGGGACACCCTCCTCCAGAGAACATCGGGCAACAGGAGGCGTGGTCAGTCTAACCGACCTGCCAGGTCCATCGGGCTGACCACACCTACAGGAAGTAACAACAGCTGATATAGAAAACTTCACCACCAACACCGGTGACAGTTATGAAGATGTCATGCAGCAGCAGAAACATGTCAACAAGGAAATACACTTTACTGTATTGTCTGTACTGTATTGGAAAACATGAACATCATTGCCTCAGCGGTTCCTATAGACATTTTTGTCTATTTAGACTTTTTTTTTTTTTTTTTTTTATTTCATCTGTCCACTATTTTAATTCAGTTAATGCTATAGGCACCACATTTGGGAAGTCCTAATTCTTGTCGAGATTTTTAGTTCCAAGAATTGTTTTTAAAAAAAAAAGAAAAATTTTTTCGCTACATGTTAAATTCAAGTTCATTTAATCACTTAATTGTTTAAAATAAAAGTGAATTTGTAAAGAAAATATCTTCATTCTTTGTACTAAAAAAAATTTTTATTGTTTTTTCCTAGGTCCCCATGAGTGATTGTTTGAGAAATTGTGTAAATTATGTTAATTATATGCAGATTTGGTCCCCATAAGCCATATTCACTAGTTTTTTTGTAGGTCCTCATGACACATCTTCCCACCATTATATCATCATTTGAAAGATCTGAAGGTGTGTATAGGTTAACAATGCCATGTTAAGTAACCTCAATTTTTTTCAAACCTGTAGAACCTCTAGAAAGGGTGGTCCCCGCGAATGATGGCTAGAAAGTTGGTCCTCATTAACCATGGAAACCCGTATGTGTGTGTGTGTGTGTTCATGTGTGTGTGTGTGTGTGTGTGTGTGTGTGTGTGTGTGTGTGTGTGTGTGTGTGTGTGTGTGTGTGTGTGTGTGTGTGTGTGTGTGTGTGTGTGTGTGTGTGTGTGTGTGTGTGTGTGTGTGTTCATGTGTGTGTGTGTGTGTGTGTGTGTGTGTGTGTGTGTGTGTGTGTGTGTGTGTGTGTGTGTGTGTGTGTGTGTGTGTGTTCATGTGTGTGTGTGTGTGTGTGTGTGTGTTCATGTGTGTGTGTGTGTGTGTGTGTGTGTGTGTGTGTGTGTATGTGTGTGTGTGTGTGTGTGTTCATGTGTGTGTGTGTGTGTGTGTGTGTGTGTGTGTGTATGTGTGTGTGTATGTGTGTGTGTGTGTGTGTTCATGTGTGTGTGTGTGTGTGTGTGTGTTCATGTGTGTGTGTGTGTGTGTGTGTGTGTGTGTGTGTGTGTGTGTGTGTTCATGTGTGTGTGTGTGTATGTGTGTGTGTGTGTGTGTGTGTGTGTTTCAGAGTTTCGTACAAATTATTTTCCTTCCTGTTTACAGTCGGATCGTGTAGTTTTTCTAACGTAACAGCAGTGACCACAGCTCATGAAAAACACTAGTTCACCAGGTCACAAAGAGCTTTCATTCAAACTAAACCAAAAAAAATGAATGCTGTTAAAAAAAAATTAAATAAATTGCGTTAACTTATTAATAATGTGATATTTTTGACAGCACTAAAAATAATACAGAACATGATGAACATTTCACAAGTCACAGTGAGTTTGAGGATTATTATTCTGGTTCCACTTCTTACTCACTGTCAACAGATTTAACAGAAAAAATACAAAACAAAACTCATCCACATAAAAACTATTAACACACGAGCTGCGGCTTCACGATCGCACAAACACACAAAGTCGGGAAAAGCCTCTTCGAACTCAGAGAAGCAAATCATGGACCTGAATCAGACAAATTCTCCTGTTCGTTTGTGTTGGACTTTAGTGTGTAAAGTACGACAACAGAGAGCGAGTTGGTCGTTCAAACTGTCGTGCTGCGTCCTTGAGCGAGAGCCCTGCACCCGACGCAAAACAGAGCGGCGCGGGACACAGACTGACAGCTCGTTGCGGGAGAAGGACGACACGATCCAGGAGCGGCCAGGAGGAAGGATAAACTACAGATAAACTACAGTCCCACAAACTAAATCTGAGAGTAAAAAATATAAATGATTCATGTTTCTATCATACATCATTTGTGCTGGATATTTCATTTGGCATCAGTAAAAACATTTTAAACAGCCGACCGTCCCCCGTCCCGTACACCACACATGATCTCCAGGTCTAAACCAGGTCTAAAACCAGGTCCAAACCAGATCTAAACCAGGTCTAAACCAGGTTTAAAACAGGTCTAAAACCAGCTCCAAACCAGATCTAAACCAGGTCTAAACCAGGTTTAAAACCAGGTTCAAAACAGGTTCTAAAACCAGGTTTAAAGCAGTTCTAAAACAGGTCTAAAACAGGTTTAAACCAGGTCTAAACTAGGACTAAACCAGGACTAAAACAGGACTAAAACAGGTCTAAAACCAGGTCTAAAACCAGGTCTAAACCAGGTTGAAAAAACAGGTCCAAAACCAGGTCTAAACCAGGACTAAACCAGATCTAAACCAGATCTAAAACCAGGTCTAAAACCAGGTCTAAACCAGGACTAAACCAGGACTAAAACAGGTCTAAAACAGGACTAAACCAGGACTAAACCAGGACTAAAACAGGTCTAAAACAGGACTAAAACAGGTCTAAACCAGGACTAAAACAGGTCTAAAACAGGACTAAACCAGGTCTAAACCAGGTCTAAAACCAGGTCTAAACCAGGTCTAAACCAGGTCTTTAACAGGACTAAACCAGGATTTAGCCAGGACTTAACCATGTTGCTGGAATGCCCCCCCCCCCTTTCCAACTTCCTTTGTCCGTGAAATATTGTCAGGTATAAAATCGAGTCCGCGACGCAAAAAAGGTTGGGGACCACTGTTTTAGACAATTCCTTTCCGCTTTTCCATGTTTGTTTAAGAAAGCGAATTTTCCCATCTTGTAGGATTTGCAGGAGGGAGCAGGACTGAATATTTTGCTCCGTGCAGACCTGCCCCCCCTGCTGTGTGAGCGCGGTAGTGTTTGTAGTGTTTTGGTCTCACCTGCCATGTCCGTAGCGAAGGGTCGGTCGGGTCTCCAGCCCGTGTACCAGCCGACCACTTTACCCCCGGACACCAGGGGGCGCTCGTAAGCCCGACCCCCCACGAAGCCCACGGGCCACACGGACACGCCTTTAGTGCTGCGCATCTGAAAAAAAACACACACACAAAAACAATCTGACATTACAAACACATCACGATCACAGCACAGCACAGCTCGATTTTATTTATTTTGACGTTATTAAAGTCTACGGAAGCCCTGAGAGGCAAGAGAGAGAGAGAGAAAAAAAAAGAGGCAGGTCATTTTTTTAATTTATTTATTTTTTCACCAACTCAAAAAATAAATAATTTCTTTTTCTACCTTTTACCATCTACCTTTTTCTACCTCTTTTTTTTTTCTCTTATGTTTTTATTATTAATTATTATTATTAAAGTCTACGGAAGCCCTGAGAGGCACGAGAGAAAGAGAAAAAAATTGGCAGGTCTTTTTTTTTTCACCAACTCAAAAAATAAATAATTTCTTTTCTACCAAAAAAAAAAAAAAGTGTAAAAAAACAAACAAAAAAAATTCTACAAATTTTTTTTTTTCTCTTGTGTTTTTATTATTAATTATTATTATTAAAGTCTACGGAAGCCCTGAGAGGCACGAGAGAGAGAGAGAAAAAAAGAGGCAGGTTAAAGTGTTTTTTTTTTGTTTTGACCAACTCAAAAAAAAATTAATAAATTTCTACCAAAAAAAAAAGTCTAAAAAATAAATAAATAAATAAATACATAAATTTCTACAATTTTTTTTTCCTAACAATTTTTTTTTCTCTTGTGTTTTTTATTTTTTGTTACTTTGATGTGGCTGATGAAAAAAAAAAAAAAAAAAAAAAACACACACACACACAAAATCTCACATTACACTCACATTATAGTACAACTCGATTTTATTTATTTTGATGTTATTAAAGTCAATTGAATTTAACAAAATATCATAATAAACATAAAAACGAGACACAAAACATAAAACGACAAAGCTCCCCACCTCTTCCCCCAAACACACACACATAAATGTAATTAAATATAAATAAAAGTATTGTGGTAGTGCAGCGTTATCATACGGCAGGCCCTCTTATATTTATATTTTGGCCTATTTATATTTATGATAATTAAATTTTTCTTTCCCTTTTATCTCAATTTTTAATAAACACTTTTAGTCACTATATTTAACTAAGATTATTTTCACTATTTTCATTTTCTTTCATCATCTTTTGCTTTTTATACAAACTTAAAGTAGAATTTTAGAGGCATTTTCTTTTCTTTTTTTCCCAGTACAACTCAATTTCATTTCAGAGTTAATTTTATTTGAACATTTTTTTAAAAAGGGATGAAGGTAAAACAAAAAGTCTCCACACTCTCAGAACATTTAACAAAGAAACAAAGAAACAAAGGAAATAAAAAGAACAAACTTGTTAAAAACATTAAATGTTCAAAAAGGAGTAAGAAGAAGAAGAGGAGGAAGAAAAGGAGGAGGATGACGGGGGATGACATCACCTGAACAGACGAGTGGAGGTTTACACCTGGTTTAGACCTGGTTTAGTCCTGATTTTAATCCTGTTTAATCCTGGTTTTAGTCCTGTTTTAGACCTGGTTTTAGACCTGGTTTTAGTTCTGGTTTAGTCCTGATTTTAGTCTTGGTTTAGACCTGGTTTAGTCCTGGTTTGGCCCTGATTTTAGTCCTGGTTTAAACCTAGTTTAGACCTAGTTTAGTCCTGGTTTAGTCCTGGTTTTAGTCCTGGTTTAGTCCTGTTTTAGACCTTGTTTTAGACCTGGTTTTAGTTCTGGTTTAATCCTGATTTTAGTCTTGGTTTAGACCTGGTTTAGTCCTGGTTTAGTCCTGGTTTAGTCCTGGTTTGGCCCTGGTTTTAGTCCTCGTTTAGACATAGTTTAGACCTGGATTTAGACCTGGTTTACACCTGATTTTAGTCCTGGTTTAGTCCTGATTTTAGTCCTGGTTTAGACTTGGTTTTAGTCCTAGTTATTCCTAGTTTAGTCCTTGATTGGACCTGGTTTTAGTCCTGGTTTTAGTTCTGTTTTAGTCCTGGTTTAGACCCGGTTTTAGTTCCGGTTTTGTCCTGATTTTGTCCTGGTTTAGTCCTAATTTAGACTTAGTTTAGTCCTGGTTTTAGACCTGGTTTAGTCCTGATTTTGTTCATATATATAAATGCTTTTAACTTGAAAACTCTCGCTTCTTGGGACGAGTCCAGGACTAAACCAGAACCGATCCAGCACAAGAATTAAAAAAAAACAACAACACATGATCAAAAGTCCTCAAAATGGCGCCTATAAACCTGAAACTTCAGCACATTTCTGTAATCATAGCCCCCCTCGTCCCCCTCGTCCCCCTCGTCCTCCTCGTCCTTCTTCTTCTTCTTTACAATCCGTCTTTTGCCTTCAGGATTTAAACAGGCACATTTGTGAGCGCTCGCTGCTTTTTGCTTCTGTTTCCCAAAACCGTTTCATCTGAGGAGAAGATTCAATTATTCAAACGCCTGCGACGAGCGACGGGAGCGTTGGATCTGACAGACCGAAGCGAGACGCCGCCGCCGACACGAGCCGCCGACACGAGCCGCAGACACGAGCCGCAGACACGAGCCGCAGACACGAGCCGCAGACACGAGCCGCAGACACGAGCCTCGTCAGCCCGAAAACCTCCAACGCACACACCATCATTTGTTCCGTCAGAGTTTGAATTTTAAATACCACCGAATTTCTCATTTTGGATTTTTTAACTCTGGGAAAACATGTTTGAATAATTTTTTATTCCGAATTGGAGTCGCTGAAATGTTAAGAGTAATTTTTAAGTATGTTTCAAATTTAAATATTCAGCACAAATATTTTGAAGTTCTCAAATTTAACAGTCAAAATTCAGAGTGTAAAATTTCGCAGTAAAGAGCCGAGAAGCCAAGACAGAAACAATCGATCTTGTGTGAGTGAGGAGGACAGAGGTGTTTCCTATTGGCTGTTGATGAGGCGAATTCTGACCAATCAGATCGCTTCCCTGCACCGTTTCCTGCTTGTTACAAAGTCAGATCGGATCATTCTGGATGGAGATACTTGAACTCCTCCATTTGAGGCAGGGACTCTCCACCGACCCGGGGAGGACAAGACGCCTTTTTCGGGTCGAGAACCACGGCCTGAGATTTGGAGGAGCTGATCCAGGGATCGGTGCAGCGGTCGCTGTTTCGGACTGTTGTGGTGAAGAGGAGCTGAGCCAAAAGATGTTCCTCCCCTCACCTCTGGTCATGAGCTCTGGGTCATGACCGAAAGGACGAGACTGATGATACAAGCAGCCAAAATGAGTTTCCTCCACAGGGTGTCTGGGCGTCTCCCTTAAGGTTCGTTCACACCAAAGCGTCAAAGTGTCCAGTTTCTATGTAAAGTCGATGTGGACGCGCGACTAGAGCGTCCTGCGTTTTTGCGTCGGCGCGGCGCGTCTTGAGCGTTTTGGCGTCGGTGCTCTAGACGCGTGTCCAAGGCGTCAGCGTCAAGAAGTTGAAAATGCTGAACTTTTCGCGTCAGACGAGCCACGTCAACCAATCAGGGACGAGCATCCAGAGACGCAGCGACGTTATTATCAGGAAGAAAAACCCGAGAACCAGAACGAGAACCACAAACATGAACGGAGATTAAATATATACACCACAATCACCGAGATGATCACGAGGACTAAACCAGGACCAGACCGGGACTAGACCGAGACTAAACAAGGACTAGACCCTGAATAGACCAAGATTAAACCACGACTAGACCGTGATTAGACCAGGACTAGACTGGGACTGATCCAGTGTCATTAGCGGAGTATAAATATAAATACGCTCCAGTCGTCGACCTGATCTCCTCCGCTGATGTTTTATGTCATAAAAACACTAAAGTCTCTCAGTCTGGTCTGACATTGTTTTGGGAAAAGACCGAGACCGGGCTCTTGTTTCCAGGGCAACGGACGCGCGTCAAGTATTTTTGTCCCGTTCGTCCACGGCGTCAAAGACACGAGCGTCGGGGGCGTCTGAACTCAAATGCAAAGGCTCCAAATAGAGACGTCAAGGTGTTTTTTGACGCTTTGGTGTGAACGGCCCTTTAGAGACAGAGTGAGGAGCTCAGTCACACGGGAGGAGCTCGGAGTAGAGTCGCTGCTCCTCCACGTGGGGAGGAGCCAGTTGAGGCTCGGGCGTCTGTTCTGATGCCTCCTGGACGTCTCCCTCGGGAGGTGTTCATGTCCCACCAGCAGGAGGCCCCGGGGAAGACCCAGGACACACTGGAGGGACTATGTCTCTGGACTGGCCTGGGAACAACTCGAGGTCCACCTCAGAGGAGCTGGAGGAAGTGTCTGGGGTGAAGGAAGTCTGGGAGTCCCTGCTTAGACTGATGCCCCCGCGACCCGGTCCTGGATAAGTGGAAGAAAATGGATGGATGGACTTTGGATTGATTACGTCTGACTTTGCATTTTGGATCTTTGCTGTGAAGTTTTTTCAGTGCGAATACAGAATTTTGACTGTTGGATTTGAGGGCTTCAAAATATTTATGCTATTTAGATGGATGGATGGATAGATGGATGGATAGATGGATAGATGGATAGATGGATGGATAGATGGATGGATAGATGGATAGATGGATAGATGGATAGATGGATGATGGATGGATGGATAGATGGATAGATGATAGATAGATAGATAGATAGATAGATAGATGGATGATGATGGATAGATGGATAGATAGATAGATGGATGGATGGATAGATAGATAGATAGATAGATAGATAGATAGATAGACAGATAGATAGATGGATGGATAGATGGATGATAGATGGATAGATGGATAGATAGATAGATAGATAGATAGATGATAGATAGATGGATAGATAGATGGATGGATGGATGGATAGATGGATAGATAGATAGATAGATATAGATAGCGGATAGATGATGGATAGATGGATAGGATAGATGGATAGATGGATAGATGATAGATAGAGATAGATAGATAGATAGATAGATGGATGGATGGATGGATGGATAGATGATAGATAGATGATGATAGATAGATAGACTAGATAGATGGATGGATAGATGGATGGATAGATGATAGATAGATAGATAGATAGATATG